AGAAAAATTGCTGTGGGACTTCAAGAAGCGCTGGTTGTCACTTTTAAAGTAGATGCCTATTTTTATCTTTTAAACCATTACCTATATAATACTTATTATGTAATCTACATATGTATATTTCATGTTTCTTTTCTCTTTCCCCTCTCTCACACACATATTAGAATATAAACTTCACAGTGCAAGGACATTCTGTTTTGTTCACTGATGCATCCCAAGTATGTAAATAGTAGCCAACATGCACAAGGCACCTAATAAATATATGCAGGGTAAGTAGGTGCTGAGAAACACAAGAGAATCTCAGGTAAGGAAGACAGAGTGAACACATGTACAGCTCCCTCCCCAAACTCTAGCAAAACCACAGTAAAGGGATTATTTAACAGGCATAATCCAAGAATGAAAAAAAATGGGAGAAAAGACTATGGGAAGATTCTAGAAGCTGGAACACAGTTGGATGACTAAGACTGTCTTAGTAGAACCTGATCCTGAACCTGAGGCTGAAGGACAGCACAAAAGCAACACAGTTTCCACAGAAGAAACCACAAAAGCTCAAGATCCAGGGGCACTAGCTGCCTTGGAGGGCCGAAGGGAGGGCACAGCTTGCCTATGGACAGGATCACTATTCTGTTGAAGTTGACAGGAAATGCCCCAGACTCCAGGCAAAATACTGGAGACTATTCACTAGCTGAGTAAACTCCAGGATCTCTGACTGGGGAACAGGGGGTTCAGTAGAGAGCACAGTGACTGCATCAGTGTGGTCCAATCAGGAGACAAACTGTGCAGAAGGACAGGAAAAGGAAGTGAGGGTAAAGAGGAGGACTTACACACTGGATGTCTTCAGGCCCTTCTCCTCTTTCAGCATCTAGAATGCAGCAGCTAGGCCTGAACACTTCAGGTGGGATTTAGAAGAACCATCTCTGCAGACTCTGAGAGACTAAAAGGAAAAATTTAGGATACTGATATTGGGAATCACTCCAGTCCCAACAGGAGGCAGAGATCTGCTCACACTGAATGTGTTCTGCCAGATGCTTGGAGCTCTATGGGCTTTGTTCCCTGCTATTATACATAAACAGACAGGACTATCAGTTATCTCAGACAGACCTGCCACAATAAGAGAGGGAAAAAAAAAAAACAAACAAACCTCAAAACCTTGGAACACAAGAGACAAGAGATTATGGAGACAGAAGAAAAATAGTCTCCAAACTATAATAAGTCAGTGAATCTACACATAAACATGTCACTTAGAGATTCAGAGGGAAATGTCAAAAGAAATCAGCTACAAAAACTTCTAAGAGGTTAAAACTTCTGTTCTGGGGAACAGAAAATGGTTAGGAGAGGAGGATGAAATGCTATTTTTTTTTATAATCAACAACAAAAAACTATTCAGTTGTTTAAATTATACACAAGTACTTTGTAGATATAAAATCAAAACAAAATACCAAGAAACTACAGGAGATTTTAAAGTGAACATAGCCCACTAGACACTCCTCCCCAAAACTTTTATGACACTGTCTTATTTCAGTTGTCACCTGCTTTTTCTCACCCCATCCACTTTCACCCCAATACCCAAACAAGGCTAGTGAGAAAGGGAAAGGGAGACTGGAAGGCCTGGGATCTGCTCTGTCAGGATCAGGTGAGAAGCCCCGGGTCAGCTTCAGTTCACTGACTCCAGATGACTTCTCCTTGCACAACTTAAGTTTGTATTAAAGTTACAACTATCAAAACCAGGCTGACTCAATCCTCATGTGTTTCCTCTTTCTTACTTTCTTTTCAAAGAATATCCTCATCCAAAAAAAACCTTGATTCTAAATACACCTTCTCCCATTGCTTTCTCTAGGTTCTCCTCCTGTACAGGCTGGGATATTCTTGGGGTCTGTCTGCCTTAGGGGGGACAGACTGCAAGTCTTTAACGCTTGGGTAACAGAAACCTTTGCTACCCTTTCACTTCACTGTGTTGCTTTCCCTGGGGATAAAAGGGAGAGGTACTTTTAGCTATGGTTATTTTTATACAGAATAATTCCATTTGCCTACCAAATTGTATCATATTTTTCCTTTTTCTTTTTTTAATATCTTTATTTATTCATTTTTATGTGGTGCTGAGGATGGAACCCAGTGCCTCACACATGCAAGGCAAGAGCTCTACCACTAAGCTACAGCCCCAGCCCTCCTCTTTTTCTTTACTAGCAATTCCACTGGCTCTGACTTTAAGGTTAGTCCTTGATATAAACAAGGGACCTGTTTGGAACAAAATAGTTGGAATGACACTGATAGACCAGGTGTGCTCATCCACTCATTACACAGTACTCAGAGAGAAGAGTCTCATTTTAGATTTTTTTCAAAACAAACATCCACTAGTTCCTTGTCTCTGATGTAGGTTAACCTCTTATTTCTGATATCGAAGGCATAATTATCTCTTTTTCATTTAAACAAAGCAAAAAGCAACATCTAATATCTTTGAAGAATAGTTGGGATTCAAATGTCTTAATAATTCACAAAGTTAAGATGAACAAATAAATGGAATTTACTGGGGATACTTTTAAATTCCTGTTTTATTCCAAATATTATTTCACCATCATAGAATGGTGAAGGCTCTGTTTAACCATCATATGAAAAAGAGTATGAGTTTTGCAAACTACAAGCTTAAGTAGTGGCTAGAGAGTGCTTCCACAAAAAGTCAACTTCTTCCTCCTCCCCCCCCTGTTTCCAAGAATACAGGTAAGACTGGTTTTGCTCTGTTGGTCACTTCATCAGTATTTGATGAGGATCTTCACGTCTATTATAAGGAAGCTGCTGTAGCAGATGGAGAAGAAGAGAAAGAACTCAAGGATAATAAATGAGTACACACATACCTAGGTGATGACAGTATTGATTGCTGTGCATTCATATTGCCTCTGTTGACTTTATAAATACCCTGTGAGGTCTTAAGTCACATATAGTCACCATATTAAAGATGAGAAAAGTGAGACTGAGAAGGTAGATCAGTGATTCTCAAACACTTAGCTCTCAGTACACCTTTACACTCTTAAAATTATTGACATATTTCTCAATGCACACACAAATTAAATCAAAATGAATGTGCGACCTAAATGTAAGAGCTATAACAATAAAACTCTTAGAAGAAAACCAAATGTAAATATATGTGACCTCAAAACCTCTCTCCCTGCTCCTCCTTAATCTCAGGGAAAAAAGGATTACCTTTCTTCCCCATTCTAGGCAGAGTTATTGGTCCCTGAGTACATACCCACCATAGGAACAAAGTAACCCAGACTTTGGGGATGGTACCAGAAGATCTCAGAAACGACTATCTCCCAAATTAACAAGCAAATTACAACTCCAGAAAAAGAAAAGAATGTAGTCTTTGAGTCACCTCTTTAAAAGCCCCTGTTCAATTCCTTTATGGGTTAACTAACAACAACAAAAAAAAAAGAATCTATTAATGTTCTAAAAGCCCTGGGCTCAATCCCCAGTACCACACACAAAAAAAAATCAGAATGTTGACATTCATTAAAAGCCCCCTGTTCCTGCAGAATCACAACCTTTAGGACAGGAGTCCCCCGTGTTTCTCCTTTGCTAGCAAGGCAATAAAACTCCTTTTTCCTTTTTCTCAAAACCCTGTCCTGGGGCCGGGGTTGTGGCTCAGTGGTAGAGCACTTGCTGAGCATGCGTGAAGCACTAGGTCCAATCCTGGCACCACTATAATAAAAAGTATTGTCTCCATCTACAGCTAAAAAAATATTTTTTAAAAAAGTGTTCTCCTGGGGCTGGGGATGTGGCTCAAGCGGTAGCGCGTTCGCCTGGCATGCGTATGGCCCGGTTTCTATCCCCAGCACCACATACAAACAAAGATGTTGTGTCCGCGGAAAATTAAATATATATATATATATATATATATATATATATAAATTCTCCAAAAAAAAAAAAGTGTTCTCGTTATTGGATTGGCTTTTGGCAAATAACATATATAACAAATGACCTAGTAGTCACTTTTGACCTAGCTTTCAGTAACAAAAGCACTGCAAATAATATATATGTCACTAGTATCTGAACTAAATAATCTCTTACAACAATAATTTTTTAAAGCATAATTTTAAATAGCTAAAGGATTTGAATAGACATATTTCCTAATAAGATACATGTAGGAATCTCACTTAACCTGACTAAAATCATCTTGGTGATGTTAACTGACATTTTGTCTAGTGACCTTGGCAGGCATTCCAAACCCTATAGGATAAACAAAATTGAACAGATTGTCAGTGGAACATTTCCTGCCAAACCCCAACTGTTTTGTAACTGACATATAAATAGTTTCTTGGAAAGCTCAGGTATATTCCACTTAATTGTCGTCCACTGAGTTCTACCAAAGCTTCCTTTTGACCCTCCGACCCTAGTCTCGTCCCCTTTGCTCCGCTGTTGCCACCAGAGTAACTTTCTGAAACAGACTGTCCTGTCCAGCTTGACTCTAGGTCACGTAAGACGCAATCTGTAACCTTCTGCCGGCATTCATAGCCTCCTCTCCACTTCCCCTCCCACTCTCCACTCCACACCCCTTCATGCTCGGTAACATAGGCCTTGAACAATCCTGAACACTTTCTGCTTCTGGGCTTTACTGCAAGCTCTCCCTGATCAAGGCACAACAATCTGTTTTGCTGACTCGTACGTGATAGGTGTTTGCACAACTTCAGACAAGGATCAAAATGGCCCTGCCCACCGGCCCGCCCACCCGCCCGGCTTAGCCGGGTCTCCCCCACCGCGAGGATAGCTGGGGAACAGGCGCCCATATAGGCCAGAGTCCCCAGGGGCGAGGCGCTGACAACGCCTCTTAGCGATTCTTCTGGGTAGGGAAGGAGGGCCTGTGCTGGGGAGGTGCGGCCTCCACAGCTCAGCGGGCCCTCGAGGCCATCCGCACTTCCCCGTTGCAGGGTGTGGCGGGTCAAGACAGAAAGAGACAAGGGGACTCGAGACAGTAAAAAGGCCACAGGGAGCTAGAAGGCGCACGGCTGGGGCTAGAGCAGTCGAGCCTCCTGATTGGCGCCAAAGCCGTCAGACAAGCCAGGCGTCCGCTGATTGGTTGCGCGGACTCTGGCACTGTGCGCAGCGTGAACGCTAATAACCCTGAAGGCCGGGTCTGTGACCGACAGTAACCCCGGCGGGAGGTGGGGAGGGCGCCGCGGAGCTCCCTGGGCGTCGGCCGCCCCGCCCGGCCAGGCCTGGTTGGGTAGCCGAAGCTGCGGCGCGAGCTCAGCTCCCGCCGCGGCAGGCTGAACCAGGCTGGTGGCCTCTACGCAGAGCCTCCTCTTTCCGACCTCAGCAGGCTGTGGAGTTTAGTGGGGGATAGGGGTGAGGACCGGAGCGTTGGAATCGCACAGAACGTTCTGTGCGACACGAATGGCCTCTGTGGGTCAGCGAGGTGGCAGCCTGACCTCCCCGCCACTGCGCACACTACCCTATTATTGGAAAAGCCACGACTGGAGGCTTTGGCCTGACGCTGGTCCCACCCTCTACTCCGGGGCCAGAGAGTCCTTTGAGGAGTGGCTTTCCAGAGGAAGAGAGGAGGAAAGGGACGAATGTTTACACAAGGATCCCTTTCCTCCACCCTCCGCACCTCTCTCTGGGGTTACTGCGGGTCACATACTGGGAGGTTAATAGCGTTCACGCCCCCCACCCCCACCCAGCGTCCAAGGATGTGAGCAGCCAATCAGCGGCTGCCCGATGGCGTCTATGCCAATAAGGAGGCTCGGCCGCTCCAGTCTTTGCAGTGCTACTCCCTGCCAGCTGTCACCTTTAGGTTGTTGGTGGGAATGTAAATGCTGCTCAGCTGTTGTGGAAAACAGTTCCGCGATTCCTCTAAAATTTAAACAGAAAGTTGCCATATGACCCATCAAACTCATGCCTAGGTGTATGTCTAAATGAATTGAAAACAATACTAAAATAATTGGACGCAATTATTGTCAACAGTAACAGCACTATTTGTCCTCACCAAAAAGTGGGAACAACTCAAAAACTGTCCATTGATAGATGAATCAACAAATTTGTGTGGTATACTTAAACAATGGTCTACGAATCAACCATCAAAAGGAATTCAGTACTAATTTATGCTACTTTGAATGTAAAAGAACAACAAAAAAACATACTGAGAGAAGCAAGTCATAGTATGAATGTCACATATTGAGGATTCCATATTGTGTTCTGGGATCATGAAAATATTTTTAAATTAGAGATAGTGGTCACAAAACATTGTAAATGTACTCAATGCCGTAGAATTGTTCACTTTAAGATATGTAGGGTTGCTTTGCTTTGTTTTGTTTTTTGCAGTTCCAGAGATCAAATCCAGGACATCTCTGTGCCAGGCAAGAGATTTATTGAGCTATACTTCAGCCCTAATGTGGTTACTCTAATGTTAAAGGACTACTTCTTCAATTAAATGTATACATATTTAAAACAGACTTTATATGAAGTCCTTCTATTATCTATAATTCTCTAAGGAAGAAGTAAGAATAGAACCATGAGCAATCCTGGGCCCAGCGCTGCCTTTTACATTCACTTTCCACATTATCCTCATTTCCTATTCTTATTTAAAAAGTTTTTTACAGCCTGGCCAGAATTGGCTACTCAGTGCTCCCCCTGAGAAGTGCTCAAGGTAAAGAGGGCCCCTTTGGCCTTTTTGAGAGGATTTGAGTCCACTCTTTGGCCCAAATCACAATGAATCAGCACTGCACACATTGCCCCTTTGTGAGCCCTCTGTGGACTGGATGTAACTTACTGGGCAGGATAGTGGCAGTGGGGCTGACCTGGGTCACCAAAAGGGGAGGGTTCTTCTTGCTTCCAGCAACCCCTGATAGAATCTAAGCTCCATGGAGTCTGCCATTGGGGCCTGTGGTATTTGCCCTAAATTCAGTGTACAAAATTCTGTGCTTTGCCAGCATCATAGAAAATTAATTACAGGTCACAGAATAGGACTCCCATTCCCTCTGACATTTCTTCCAGCTTGTAGCAGAGATAGAACTTAAATGAAGGCTTGAGATTTCCACCATTTAATTGAATACCATCTGTTTAGGTGAAGGAAGACATTTCCAGAAGAGGAAAACTCCCTGGAGGAGCTCAGAACTTAACAGAAGGGTAGAGTTTGGTTGGAAAAGTAGAGAGGAAATGTCAGGTCTGTTTCTGTGGTAGAGAGAAGGGCTTAAAACTAAACTGGGATCAGTGTTCAGGTGGGTCAGGAGGTGAGAGAGCTGGGCTCTTACAGAACACAGGAAGCTTGTGCAGTTTGTGCATGAGTTCAGCTCCTTGCCATTGGCAGCCAGGGAGGAGCTTTGCCTCTGAGTATAACTGAGTATCGCTGGCAGGCACTTGGATATAAGAGATTTGGGCCTGTCTCCTTTGTCCTCTACTCCAATCCAGGATACCCAGGAGGCCTCAGTTCTGGAGCTACACCACAACACCACTACCCACTCTCTCACAGCTTCTCTCCAGATCTGATGAGTCAATAACAGCACCTGCTTCTGATACAGTGAGGTGATGTGCTGTCTGGCCTGCAGGGCAGTGCCTGTCCATAGAAATGTTGATATTGCTGTTATCATCATGTCCTCCAGTCTGGTGGTCTGAGATCTTGGATTTCCTACTCAAAAGAAAATTGGATTTCTGTTTATGTTTGACCTAAACCCTTTTCACTAATATAGAACTTGGTATGGATTTTTCAACTACTATAATTTGGTATACCAAGATTGTTATCTTAGACTTTATTATAGCAGCTGCCTTTTGTCATTTGGCTGTTTGTCTCTTTGAAGTTTGAGACTGGAGATAATATCACTGTAGAATTAAGACTTGATTTGTAGAATCAAGTCTTTTAGTCAAAAACTTGATTTTCCTCCCTGCTTCTTTTAGTCTGTTTTAGTTTGAATCTCAGCTACCACTAATGGTAAAAGTAATAAAATCCAAGGCACTTTTTTTCTCATACAATATTTGTTAGTGAGATTCCATTCATATACCATAAAACAAGCCCTTTTTAATACTTATTTTTAGTTTTAGGTGGATACAATATCTTTATTTTATTTTTATGTGGTGTTAAGAATTGAACCCAGTGCCTTACACATGCTAGGTGAGCACTCTACCACTTGAACAACAACGCCAGGCCCCAAACCAGCCTTTCAAAAAAAGAGCTCAATTCACCCATTTTCAGTAGAGTCCTGCAGCTACCACCACAACCTAATATTGAAACATTTTTGTCACTTCTCACATAAAACAGTGCCCATTAGCCATCACTCCTCATTCTTCTCCCATGGCCCTCTGGCAGCTTCTAATCTGCTTTCTGTCTCTATATTAATCTATTCTGGGCATTTCATATAAGTGGAATCATACAGATTATGGCCTTTTGTGTCTGACTGCTTGATCACAGAACGAACTTTTCAAGATCCATCATCATATCATGTATCAATACTCGGTTCTTTTTATGGCTAAATAATATTCTGTTGTACAAATATACTACTTTGTTGTTTATTTATTATTGTGTTCATGGATATTTGTGTTGTTTCCACTTTGGACTCTTACATAATCCAGTTCTGAACCCTCATATGCAAGTTTTTCGGGCATGTATGCTTTCACTTCTCTTGGGGATGTACTAGGAGCAGAATTGCTGGGACCTATGGTAGTTCTATGTTTTCTATCCTTTAAGGAATGGCATGTATGTTTTCCAAAGCAGCTGCATCATGTTAGATTCCCATCAGCAATGTATAAGGGTTCCAGTTTTGTTTTTTTTTTTAAAGAGAGAGTGAGAGAGGAGAGAGAGAGAGAGAGAGAGAGAGAGAGAGAGAGAGAGAGAGAGAATTTTTTTTTAAATTTTATTTTTTAGTTCTCGGCGGACACAACATCTTTGTTGGTATGTGGTGCTGAGGATCGAACCCGGGCCACACGCATGCCAGGCGAGCGCGCTACCGCTTGAGCCACATCCCCAGCCCAGGTTCCAGTTTGTTTACTTCCTCAGCAATAATTATTTTTCACTGTTTTCTTTATTATATTCAGGTATGAAGTGAAATCTCTTTGTGATTCTGAGTAGTATTTCCTTGATGGCTATTAATGTTAAGCATCTTTCCCTGTGTCTTTTTTTTTTTTACCATTTGTATATTTTTTATAAATAAAATGTATATTCAAATATTTTCTCTTCTTTACCATCAGGTATTTGTCTTTTCATTTTTGATCTTCAGGGCTTGGGGTACAGCTCATTGGTAGAGTGCTTGCCTAGCAGGCTGAAGCCTTGGGTTCAATTCCGATGAGAGTTACTTTTATATTCCAAGCACTAGACTCTGATCAAACATATGATTTTGCAAATGTGTTCTTCCATTCTGTGGGTTGCACTTTTAATTTCCTGATGGTATCTTTTGAAGCACAAAATTCTCAATTTTGATGAAAGCCAATATTTAAAATTTTTTTGCTGCTTGTGCTTTTACCATCACATCCAAGAAATTGCCCAACCTCAGGTTCATTAGTTTTCCTCACTGTGACCAAAATATTGAGAAAAACTCATCATGGCAAGAGGGCATGACAGAGGAAAGTTACTTAACTTTTGGCAGTCAGGAAGCAGAGAGGGAAGAGAGGGAACAAGGAAGTGGCTAGGAACAAGTTATAGTCCCCAAGGGTGTGCCCCCAAGGACCTACCTTCTCTTTTCAACTAGATTCTACCTCCTGCAGTCTGTATCACTCCCAGCTATGAATTTCTAAATGGGTTAACCCATTAATAAGGTCAGAGCCCTCATGAACCACAATCACTTTCTGAAATTCTACCTTTGAAGTTTGTTTCATTGAGGAACAAGCCTTGAACTCATGAGCCTTTGGGGAATATTTTAAAATCAAACCATAATATTCCACCCCTCACGCCCAAAGAGAAGAATCAATTAGGGACAAGATATAGCCTTCCATGGCACAACCCCAATAACCTACTTTCTCCAACTAGGCCCCACCTCCAAATAATGTCTTCAAATTATTAATTCATCAATGGATTAACCCATTGATGAGGGACACCCCCCACACATCCTTTGCAGCTGCCATGAGATRTGTAGCTTTCCTTCCTCACATCTTTCTGCTCTGATGTTTTGCCTTGCCTCAAGCCCATGTTTTGCCTTCCTACCATGGGCTGGATTCTCTGAAACTGTGAGCCAAAATAAATCCTCCTTTGAGTCGTTTTTCTTAGGTATTTCATCATGTTGACAAAAAGCACACAAATATAACAGATGATGGAGATTTACACCAATATTTTCTGCTAAGAGTTATGTAGCTTGAGCTGGTGTACTTTCAGTATATGGTTTGAGGTATTGGGCCAACT